GGGGGTCCAAAAGACCATGTGGTCTGAGAAACAGGTGAATAAAATGGATATATAAGGTGAGTTAGTTATCTGGTTAGTTAGCTTGAGAAAGAAGGAGATCCAGAAGGTACTTAGCTTCTATATTTAAGTGAAAGAAAAACTCTCTCGTGGGAAAGGTCTTAGATGTATTCTGTGTATGACCATGGGACTGAACTTCATTTTAATTAAAAATTAAAAATAATTTTTGTTGTTTAGAGCTGGTGGGGTGGGGAAGAGAAGGAGAGAGGGAGAGGAGGAGAAGGGGACAGGGGCAGAGGGAGAGAGAGAGAATCTCAAGCAGGCTCCTCACTCAGCACACAGCCTGACCTGGGACTTCACCCCTTGACCTTGGGATCATGACCTGGGCAGAAATCAAGAGTCAGATGTTCAACCGGCCAAGCCACCCAGACAGCTTGAGCTTTATTTGATTTTTGAGTAGGCTCCATACCCAGCATGGGGCCCCACATGGGGCCCAATGCGTGGCTTGAACTCATGACCCCAAGATCAAGACCTGAGCTGAGATCAAGAGGTGGACACTTAACCGACTGAGCCACCCGGGTGCCCCAGGACTGAACTGAAAAAGAAACTTTCAAAGGAGATCTATTTCAGTTCAACAGGAGAACGGCCTCATGGTCGTGAGATGGCTGCCACAGCTCCAGCCATCCTGACTACAATCTAACACAAGAAACGGGGGCACCAGAAAGCTCCTCTCTCTAATTTGTTTCTTTTATCAGGAGGCCACATATCTTTTCTAGTCTCTGTAGGTTTATTTTATTCTATTGACCAGAAGTGAATCACGTGGCTGCCCCTAGTTGGGTCCTTGATGACATCATTGAGCTGCTGAACTAAATTTAAAATGGCCAACTTCCAGTCTTCTTAGAATGACAGAAAAATAAATGCCTATGTGATTAAGCCACCGTTGATTTTCTGTGACTTGCGGTCAAATGCACGCTAATAGATACAAAGGCCGTCTTTGTGAAAGTACCTGGGATGTGTCCACCCGGACTGTTTGTAGACCCCATTCATCCAACCAGTTTTGCGAAGTGTCTACTTTGTTCCGGGCACTTGGCTAACCTCTGGGGCTGTAATGGTGAACAAACCCGGACAGAAGCCCTGCCCTCATGGAGGTTACATTCCAGTGGAGAAGACAGGTGTGACTGAAGCAATCCACGAAGGAGTAGAAAAATGTAATTCCCATAATGCTGCGGGGCAAAGGTACAGGTGCTACGGGAGAATACAATGTAGGAATGGCCCTGGTGGTGGAGTCAGGAAGGTGTCCCTGAGAAGCGAGCAGTCTGAGATCTGAATATCCGCTTCAGGCTTGTGTCTCTGCCCACAATGCCCTCTCTTTCTTGCCTATATCTTGTTGGCTTATCTTCTCCCTTGAAGCCTTTCCATACACCCAGACACCTCCAGCGTCACTCTTCCACGAAGCCCTGACCTTTCAACGACACGTGGCCTATACCTCCTTGAACGCCCTTGGCCAATGCTCTCACCCTGCCTTACAACTCGAGCCCTTATTCTGCTTACCCCCTCACTTCCACCCCACCCCTTCTGGAAAACACGGACATTCTTATCTTCCCATTAAAGATCTAGCAACCTAGTTTGTTGTCTTGCGCTTAGCCAACATTCGACACTTATTCGAACTGAATTTGAAAACTGTATTTTATGGATGTTTACTACCGTCTAGTTTCAGAAAACATTTGCTAGCTCACACAGAGTACTTTGCATGTGCATGTGTGTGTTTGTGTGACAGAGAGGTTTCCACAGGCCCAGACACCCAGAACCTTGGACTTTTGTCCACAAACTGAGATTACAAAAAAAACAAAACAAAAAAAAACCCCTATTTAAACATTAATAAAGACAATCATTATATGTCTGTCAACTATCATCACTTACATGAGCTGAAGCTCCTTAGTTCATGACTTTGACTATTGCAACTTATTCCTTAGCGTGAGAGGCAAGGTGTTTGTACTTCCCCAGACGCGTACTGACACCTTTCACATCTTTGAAGGGGTCTGGCTCTGTTCAATATTTTCAGGATGACAGTTGTCCCGGAAGGCACTGTGCCTTTCCTTGAATTCACACAGTATTAATCTTTACAGTAGGTTCACAAAAGGGAGACTAAATTTTTTAAATGTTTATTTTTGAGAGGGGGGATGAGCGGGGGGGAGCAGAGAGAGAGGACAGAGGATCCAGAGTGTTGGTGGAGGGGG